ACATGTCATTACTACTTGTAATAGGAAAATACTGGCCAGTTGACAGACCTGATGCAGAATGTATTTTTTCAACCATTTGCTCAGACCTTCTCGAAGTGGTCATGCAGCAGTGTACATAAACTCTCGGAATGTGGTAGTAATTATAATGTGTGAATAGGACAGAAAGGTTAATTCTGTTTCATTTTGACACCTGAAAGTGTCCAGTGAAACGTCAGTTAAAACTATCCAAAGCCAGAGTCCTTCAGCTTCAAGTAAGAAATGAACATCTGATATTAGCCAAAAAGCCAATAAGTGCTAGGAAAAAAAAACAGACAATTCAAGTCATATTCCATTATCTACTCTCCAAAGTCTGATATCCTCACAGAAACAGCATGAGACAATTTGCATTATTCATGAAGTTCCAAAGAAAGATGGCTTGTCTTCTAGACTCTTAAAGTGGACCCAGAGAAGAAGCAAACCCCTTGCTTTTAAGCAAGAGAACAGAGAACTGGCCCTCAGGGTCCAAGTCTATGGCCTGGAACACAGTCTCAGTCACCTGTGGTTCTACCTTCCTGGAGCCTGGGCCCCTGGAGCCTGGGTGTGTACCTGAATCTCTTCTGGCCTTGAGGCTTTCAGCGATGCTCTGCCATGGACCACCCATCCCTACAAGAGCCCAGCACTGTCGCTATCCCCTGGGGAGGGTCCCAGGCCTTAATGTCTACACTGACACTCTGTCCTCCCTTCCCCTCCTCTGCACTCTGAGGCTCCAGTCCAGCTCTCAGCTCAGTCGACCTACAGCTTTCCAAGTTCCTCTGTGCTGGGAACTTGAACCCAAGAATCCATGACATTCCTGCACCTAGAGAAACTGAAAAGTGCACGTGGTCCCCGGCTCTGTGGCTTAAAAGATGCTCTTCCATACTTCTTATATGTGGGATCTAAAGAAAGATAGAAGTGAACTGAGTTACAAACCAGAGATAAACTCCCAGACAGAAAACAGACTCCTAGCTACCAAAATGGAAAGGGGGAAGATAAATTAAGAACTGGGGATTAACTTATACACATTTAGATATTTAAAATAGGTAACCAACAAGGACCTACTGTATATCACAGGGAACTACACTCAATATCTTTTATAATGGAAAAGAATCTAAAAGAAAGACCATATATCTACATATATATATAGATAGATATATAGATATATATATATATAGATAGATATAGATATGCTGCTGCTGCTGCCAAGTCGCTTCAGTCGTGTCCGACTCTGTGCAACCCCATAGACGACAGCCCACCAAGCTCCCCCATCCCTGGGATTCTCCAGGCAAGAACACTGGAGTGGGTTGCCATTGCCTTCTCCATATTGAAGGACTGATGCTGAAGCTGAAACTCCAATACTTTGGCCACCTGATGCGAAGAACTGACTCATTGGAAAAGACTCTGATGCTGGGAAAGATTGAGGGCAGAAGGAGAAGTGGACGACAGAGGATGAAATGGTTGGATGGCATCACCAACCCAATGGACATGAGTTTGAACAAGCTCCGGGAGTTGGTGATGGACAGGGAGGCCTGGCGTCCAGGGATTGCCAAGAGTCGACATGACTGAGCCACCGAACTGAACTGAACTGAAAGTAACACAACGTTGTACAACTAGGTTTGAATAGAAATTAAATTAAGAAGGTGCCCTTTCCTCTGGACTCACAAGATTCCATGAGATATAGCCTGCTGGATTGACAGCGCCTGCCTTGTAACACAGATCATGAGCCTTCAGCAAGAATATCTTTTATGGTCCCCTCAAAGGCATGGAAATTTGTATGATGTTGACAGTTCACATGCTTTTCTAAATCACACACCAGTCTCACAACCAGGAGCTACTATGAGGACAGATGTCCAAGTACAGCCTAGATAGAGGCTGCCCTCGATTTGTCTTTAGGACTCACGTTGGACTCCCCTGTTCAACACTGAGCCCACCCAGAGCAGCCAGGGAGACCCCAACCCCACCAGAGACGAGGAGTGGGACAAGGAGTCCCCTTCTGTGCGAGAACCATCCTCAGATTGAAGGGCGGGCCAGTCCCTGGAGTGGGGCCTCCTCTGTCTGTTGCAGGAGAAAGACACAGCCACACTGCAACACCAAGCAAAAAAAAAGGGGAGGGGGGAGACTATATAATAACCTAGAATGGAAGAGAATGTAAATATATAGATATACACATATATGCACTTATGCATGTACATGCATATGTATCCAACTCTTTACAACCCCATGGAGTGTAGCCTGCCAGGCTCCTCTGTCCATGGGATTTGCCAGGTAAGAATACTAGAGTGGATAGCCATTCCCTTCTCCAGGGGATCTTCCCAACCCAGGGATCCAGGCAGATTGTTCACCATTCAGCCACTACAGTATCTACTGCAGCCAAGCCCCTGGATAATCTAAAGTGCTAAATGGGGTCAGGATAGCACCAGAAGGAAAAGCAACATTCCGAAGTCGCACTGCTATCAACCCTATTTTCTGTTTCCCCAAATTCTTCCTACGACTTCAGAGAGGCAGTGCCTCCTAAATGCAGTTACTAGCCACAGCTGCCTGCCCAGCTCCAGTCTCTAGGGACCGCCTGCTTCTTCCTGTAAGATTGGCACTGTCCTCTTTCTCCTCCCTCTTTGCGTCACTTGTCTTTGGCCCCAGCTTTTTTCCCTAGTTTTCTCCAAAGGCTGAAATCACAGGCATGACCTCCAGACACACTCACATATATAGGTGTGTAAACGAATCACTTTGCTGTCCACCTAAAACTAACATAATATTGTAAATCAACTATATTTCAATTAAATTTTTTTTAAAAAGCAGGGATTTTGGAATCAGATTTCCTGAGCACAGTTCCCAGATCCACGACCTACTTGTCATGTGAACTTAGGCAAGATGGCTACTTCTGTGCCAGCAAAATAAGAATATTCTGGCCCTCGACGGGCATTTGTAGAAATTAACTGAGACATTAAATTCCCGTACGTACATAGTTCCCCAGCGTTAGTGCTCTTCCTTCTACTTCCTGTCCCCAAGTCAAGCCCCCATCCCCCCTCTTCCTGACGGGCCCCAACGCCACCCCACTAGCCATCCTTCCCAAGGCTGCAGGTCAACCTCTTGGAGGCACACCGACGCGGCAGGCCTTGAAAGCCAGCTGGCTTTGGATTCAGCCTGGACTGAAGTCCTGGCTTCTATTCCCAGGCTGGCTAGCCTGGGGCAAGTTGCTTAACCTCCTTGCCTGGTTTCCTCAATCACAGACCACACTCTGCCCTGAAGGGTTGTTTTGAGCAATCAACAGTTGCAACTGGGAAAGTACCTGTGACAACCCTGGCAAATCCTAGATCCAGCTCCCTCTCCTAGCCTTCTCTCCCGTGGGCACCAGGAGGCTGCATGGCTCTGGCACGGACAAGGGAAATAACCTCCGAGGAGCTTCAGGAGCGCGTGGCCCTGTCCTCGCCGACATTCACTAAGGTCTGCTCCCTGCTCTAGGGCAGGGCTGCCTGCCTTCTCTCTCATCTCCATATTGAGGGTTTTCAACAAGCTCCCGAGGTCTGTAATTCAATACTTCTGTCCTTGGATCCACTCTCCGTCTCTCCTAAAAGAGACAGAAAGAAGGAAGGAAGATGAAGCCATCTCCTGGGCTCATTTTGGTTCCTTTCTTCTCCGTTTCCAACAGTTCTTATTCTCAGCTCCTTCTGCCACCCTAGTGGACTTGTGAGCACCGTCCTGGATCTTGAAACCCTAGGATATCTGCTTCTCACTTAAGATTAGTTATACAGTCAACTTGGGTCAAGGAAGAAGCAGTGCATTTAACACACACACACACACACACACACACACACAACACAAGGAATGCATTTGTATCAACTCACTCCAGAGATCTTCTCTCAATTATTCTAGGAGGAATCAGATCCACATGCTTCTCATGGAGAGCGGGATATTTTTCTGTGTTTTTTCTCTGGTGTGTGCAGAGCAACTCAAGGCCAGTCAAAGAGGATAGATTGTCCACCTCTACCTTTCCAGGCAGGTTGCCAGAATCCCTGAGCATCTCAGGCACTCAGAAGAAGAATTTCTTGAGTCCATAGCCTTAGAAGGTGCAGTTTGCTGTGCAAATATTTGTATCCCTCGAGAGGCTTGTTAAGGAGGGTGGCTAGGCAGCATAGGCCATTCTGCTCTGGCTTTCTTTCCTGAGTCAGCACTTCACAGTTGTCTGATACTTTGAGTTGAATAAACCATAAAATTAGCAACGGCCCCAAAGATCAAAGGTCACATGGGACTATGCAGAGCAAGCAGTAATACCCAGGCCTCATTCCTGGGTGGGAGGGGGCAGATGAATCTTCGTGTCTACGCACAGAAGTGGAGATTTGGTTAAATATAGATCCTCTGAGTTCCCAGCAAAAGTTATATTCTCCAAAAAACTTCTGGAAAGAATAGGTAATTATTGCAGGCATTTACTATTCAAAAATCAGTCTTCAAGTAACCGAAAAATAAAACTGGGTGCATTTTTTTTTAGCTTTTTCCTTTGCATTGGCACGTAGCCAATTAACAAACACTATTGTGACAGTTTCAGGCGAACAGCCACGCAGCCAATGTATCCATGTGTCGGTTCTCCCCCAAACTCCCCTCCCATCCAGGCTGTCACATAATAGTGAACAGAGTTCCCTGTGGGCTACAGTAGGTCCTTGTTGAACTAGGTGCATTTTTAAGGGCCTGTAAATCTTTTTCAATCAAACATTTACTAATTTTCAGTGATAAAAGACTCACATGGATGGCAAGGGGAATCATAATAAAACACATGCCACATCCACCAGCTGAAACCCCAAGTGGCCAGTTTTGAAAAGATGACACAGGGTGTGTTTACCTCGGATAACTTTCAGCGCGAATTCTAGGAGGTTTTAGGACTGGAAACCACAGTGCATGATAAGCAAATGGATTATTAAGTTAAGCATGGCTGTGGGTGCTCACTGCTAAGGAAAAGCTTAAGAAAATAAAGCGAGGAATTATTTCACACTAAATAAAACCTTCAGCAGACTTTATAAATCCTTGCTCTGCCCACATAACTCCCACTTATTTCTGTTTCCAGAAACGTGCCAAGCCTCGCACGCCTGCACCAGGGGAGAAGACGATCATGCGGACTGCTCTGGAGCTAACTGCTGCTGAGTTCTCATCACGGCAGGGACTCCCCTTTTGTGCCAGAAGCAGATGTGCAAGAAAGGATCGGACGTCAGGGGCTCCAGGTCGTTTCTGCAGTGATCTGCCAGCCTCAACAGCTCCATGCAGTGAAGGGTGACTGTATGCTAGAGCTGCGGGTGGGGGCAGAAAGAGTTTGTAATGAGACACAGCCCCTCCCCTCAAGAATCTTAACCCTCTATCAGGTGGGTAATACATATATAAAAAATATAAGGAGAATTAACAATAGGAAGAGGGAACATGTATAGGCTCTCTCTGCCTGTCCAAGGCTGCTCCAAGCATGAACTGTTTCCCTGATCCTCCCACAAGCCCTGTGGGGTGGAGGGGTCTCCCCTTTGTTCTGACTATTGACAAGCCAGGAAAGGCTCCTAGGCTGACTTCCAGAAGCCTTGCAAGCTTCATCCTGTCTCCCAGTAGTCCCAGCTTCCTAACCTCCTTTGCTTGCGGGGCATGTAGCTTTTTGTTAACTGCCTTAGATCACTTTGTAGAACATGTGATACTCTTACAAGAAGGTGTTTACTAAGTTCAGCATGTCTGAACTCACACTCTTTCATTTTCCCCAACCCTGCTTCTCGTCTGAATCACCCTATTCTGGCTAATGGCAGCTCCCATCCCAGAGCTGGGACCCTGGGGTCACCTTTGCAGAGTTGCTCAGACTTGCCCCGCTTTGTCTTTCTGCTCTGCTAATCAAGTGGTGGTGGTGGTGTTCGATCGCTAAGTCATGTCCGACTCTTTGTGATCCCATGGACTGCAGCACACCAGGCTTCCCTATCCATCACCAGCTCCCGGAGCTTGCTCAAACTCAAGTCCATCGAGTCAGTGATCCCATCCAAAAATCTCATTCTCTGTCATCCCAGTCTCCTCCTGCCTTCCATCTTTCCCAGCATCAGGGTCTTTTCCAATAATGAGTCAGCCCTTCATATCAGGTGGCCAAAGTATTAGAGCTTCAGCTTCAGCAACAGACCTTTCAATGAATATTCAGAGTTGATTTCCTTAGGAATGGACTGGTTGGATCTCCTTGCTATCTAAGGGACTGTCAAGAGTCTTCTCCAGCATCACAGTTTGAAAGCATCAGTTCTTTGGTGCTCAGCCTTCTTTATGGTCCAACTCTCACATCCATACATGACTACTGAAAAAACAATAGCTTTGACTATATGGACCTTTGTTGGCAAATTGCTGTCTCTGCTTTTTAATATGTTGTCTAGATTTGACAGAGCTTTCCTTCCAAGGAGCAAGCGTCTTTTAGTTTCGTGGCTGCAGTCACCATCAGTCACTGTTTATTCCTTCAGAATGCCTTCCTGTCTCATTCTCTAGTTTCCATTCACATGTTTGCCATTGCGGGGTGTACACGGTGTATCATGAATCTGGGATATGGAAATAGGCTTCCAAGTCCCCCTCCCCCCTCTCCATCTCCTTCTGCACCGTTGTATACACTGCTGCCACAATGAGTTCCCAAAGCAGAGTTCTCAAGATATCCCCACCACAGCCAGACTCATGGAGCTGGTGGTACCTGTTCCATCTATCCACCCACCCATTCACCCTCCCACCCATCCACCCATTCACCCACCCATTTACCTTGCATCATCATCACATGCCTTTCCTTGCCTCCATCACTCTTCTCACATCAGGAGGATGAGATCTTCTTTTCTCTGCCCTTTTCAAACTCAACCGTCTTCCTTGACCTAAAAAGCTCACCTGGGGGGCCGTGGAGCAGTTAGAACCGAGCTGGTGGTGGGTGAGCCCCAGGATCCCTGAGCCACCTGCTCCTCCAGACCCCCGGAAGTCAGGTGTCCAGGCAGATGGCGGGCAGAAGGGGACCCAGAGTTCCCCGCAGCCCTGGCTCACCCCGCACAGCAGGCCTGCCGCAGTGCCGTTCTCAGAGCCCTGAAGGGACGGCAGGCCCCCATGAGGCCACCACCTCTCCCACAGCCCTGCCTCCCTGTCCGCCAAGCTTCCTCCTCAACTTCTTTCCTGCTCGGCACCTTGACACCTTCACAGGACCCCAGGGTCTCCTGTGCCTCCAATCCCTCCCCTGGAGGGTCTAAAGCTGCCCAGTGTTGGGATGAAGGTCCCTGGCGGGACCATCCAGAGTGAGGATCAGAGGCCACCCGCAATGGCTGGGCCACAGTATCACTGGTCATCTTCTAGTGACCCTCTCAGTCTCCAGCAGGTGGGTCATCTGGGCCTTTGGCCCTATCGGATGCTGCTGTAGAAAGAAGTCAAAGCCGTGGCCCACGTCCTCCTAATTCAATCAAGGGCTTCCCCAAGGCCCAGAAGGGCAGGATTCAGGGATGAAGAGGGGCAAGTTCAAGTCCTCAGGCCTCCTCTATGAGCAAATGCAACAGAAGAGAAAACTCTTCCATTTTTGCAAGGCCAGAAGGAGCGCAGGGAGAAAGGTCCTCTTTGCCTGAGGCCTCACCTGGCTGGTGACATCCCTCAGGTGTGCAGTGGGCTGGGCCATCCTCCCCTACACAGGGTTGATGGGCTCACTCCTCACCCAGAAGCCCCGAGGCAAAGACTGGGCTGCATCCCCACGAGAAGAGACCACAGGCTGGGCCAGGGGACATTTCTGAACTGGAATCAAAGAAATGAGTGGTAGAGACTGAGGGAGCTGGAGGCGGAGCCTGACCCCAGGTAAGGGAGGCAGGTGCGCGGCAATGCCATGGTCCCTGGTGAGCACAGGCCCAGAGATGGAGAGGCTGGAACGAGGAGAATGCTAAATACTGGGCTCTGAGCCAGTGGCTTCTAGTGTGTGAACAGTGCCAACAAGTTCAGCTTCAACATGCTGGGGGCTACAGCCAACACAAGTAAATGTAAAAGAAGATGGAAATTTGGAAATCATTCTGTGCTGGGCTGAGCACTGACTCCTCAGAGAAGATGACCATAAAGCAAGCACTCAAAACACAACTGCAAGGGATCTCGATATTGAGGGGGTTTCAGAAAAGGAGAGCTGCCTGCCATCTGCATCCTCAGGACAAGGGGCTCCAGGGTGTCGTCACAGTCTGTTTCAGCATCCCTGAGAAGGAGCTCAGTGAACACTTGAATGAATGAATGAATACATGCGTACACTGGAGGGCCCTCCTTTGAATCCCAGGCCAAAAATAACTCCCTTTCAACTTGGGCATTACACCTGACACATGTGCTTATAAAGAAGCCATATGATTGTTTTCAGCTTGCAATGAATAAGTTTACTCTATAGGATATTGTGAGCAACTCCCCCAGCTCAGAATTGGAGGCGCCAATCAGGAAGTGAATCGAGTGCCTGTTGTCAGCTGAGCGTGTCTGCCAGGTGGTCCCCGAGCTACTAGGCTTTCCCCATGTTTATTTCTATAGCAAGACTTGCCTGTCACATTTTTGCAAATGCATCTGCTTGAACTCAAACCAGTTCAAAATAGTTTGACCCCAAGTCAGTGTTCCTGGACCCCCTCCACTTGAGAACATGACCTGCCTTCTCCCCATAGACCCCACAGACCCTCTAGAGGAGCATCCCTGATACCTGAGGTCCCAGGGACAGGGCAGGGAGCTTCTCCAAGTCTGGTGTCCACTTCCAGGTCTCGAGTCCCCTGTGGCCCCGTCATGCTGAGGGAGAGGAGAGGGTGCAGCCCGGATAGCTGTGGGGCTGGAGAGAACCACCTCATAGCATCAGAAAAAAACCCAACAAAGCCATTTATCAGGTGTGGCGGCTTCCTCTGCAGTGTGGTCCTTCCTATAACACCCGTTCCCAGCCACATTTCACAGCCCCTCCCTGCACACACATTGCCCTGGAAACCAGAATGCTTTCCCAAACATCACCCTATTCCCACGGCGATCAGGAACTCTCTGGAAATAGGTGGAGACCTTGGGATTGTTCTTGCAGAAGACGGAACGGGAAGAGAGGAAGCGTGGACACATTTTCTGCAATCGTCTCTGTAAGAAACCGAATGACACCTCTGACTCCTCTTTAAAAAGCCAAGAAGAGTGAAAATCCAAAGCTCAGGACAAATTAGAGCTTTACGGATGTTTTGCAAAAGGAACCACTGGTAGTTTCGTCTCCACGGATGAGTTTCCTGGTGCTGAATGACAGAGAAAAACTCAGCCCTCAGGGACGGTGAGAGTGACAGGGGATACCCCCGCAGTCCCCAGCCTCACGTCCTGGACAACAGGCCAGATAAGGAGGGGGCTGGCAGCAGCTGGCCATGGGCAGATGTCCAGTCTGATATCAATCTGCAAGAGGAGAGGGCGGGCCCAGGGTCCTGATATAATGAGATTGGCAATGAGAGAAACACAAGATCCCCGCTCCCTTTGCACATTTATTCACATGCAATGTGCAGACTGAAGCTTTGCTGACTTGAAGTCCCAAAGAGAGCTGTCATATCCCGGGGCAAGATGCGTGTTTTCCTTCACAAAATTTCTGGGTGTGTGGGGACCGGTGGGGTGTCATCTCTGTCCGGGCACAAGCTGGATCCTTCAGAGCTGTCCCTGCTGGAGCCTGGCTGCCCTGGCCAGGGACACTGAGACCCGGGCCCCCGACCCTCTGCACTCTGTTCGAGAATCTTCCACTGAGTCCTCTGTGCTCTCTGCCTTTTAGCCCATACACCGCACATCGGAACCTGGCTTCACCGGCCCTCCTCCTTCCCCACAGGCATCCCGTGGGGCCACCCTGGCTCTGCCCTGGCCTTCGCATGCTCCTGCCCTCCATCCTCATTTCCACTGGCTGACACCCCAACACTCTCAGTTCCTCACCCCAGTTGCCTGGGACCCTGGCCAAGCGTTGACAAGCCCCACAGGCCCAGAAAAGCCTGAATGACCACAGAGACTCCCCCGTCCCCACTTCCTGTCTGGAAGCAGCTTCCCAACCGAGGCTGGAGGGAAGGGAGAAGCTTCCACGGCAGGTTAAGAAAGGCCTGCGTGGAGCAGAGGCTGCCGCGGGCCCCAGCACGGTCATCAGACAGCCCAAGGCTCACATATCAGGGTTCACATCCATAGGTCAGCCTCCTCTGGGGGCCCAGAGTTCCGGCCCACGCCTAAGAGGGGGGCCAGCTTTGGTCCAAACAGAAGACACTCAACTCTGAGCAAGCATTGCAGAGAGCTGGGCACATGCACACACACACTCAGAGGCACACTCATGTCTACACATGAACTCACATAGGAACACACAGGCACACACATACTGTACAGGTGCACACAGAGGCACACACATGCACAACCAGGAATCCACAGAGGAACACACAGGCACACGCATACACAGGCACACACAGGCACACACATGTGTACACACAGGCACACACAGCCACAGAGGAACACACAGGCACACGCATACACAAACACACACAGGCACACACACATATAAGCACACACAGAGGAACACACAGGCGCATACATACACAAGCACACACATATACACACAGGTGCACACACAGGCACACACATACACAGAGGTGAGCACAGAGGCACACACATACACAAGTACATGCAGAAGCACACATGTGTACACCCAGGCACACATATACACAGAGGAACACGGGCACATGCATATACAAGCACACACATGTACACACAGGTACACACACATACACAGAGGTGTGCACACAGGCACACACACACACAGAGGTGTGCACAGTGGCGCACACATACACACGCACATGCAGAGGCCACGCATGTACACACAGGCACACGCACATGCACAGAGGAATACACGGGCATGCACATAAACAAGCACACACAGAGGCACACACATATACACACAGGCACGCACATACACACAGAGGTGTGCACAGTGGCACACACATATGCAGGTACACGCAGAGGCACACACATGTACACACAGGCATGCACACACACAGAGGTGTGCACAGAGGCACACACATACACAGGCGCACACATATACAAGCACACGCAGAGGCACACACATGTGCACACAGGCACACATATACACAGAGGAATACACGGGCACGCACATATACAAGCACACGCAGAGGCACACACATGTACACACAGGCATGCACACACACAGAGGTGTGCACAGAGGCACACACATACACACGCACATGCAGAGGCCACGCATGTACACACAGGCACACATATACACAGAGGAACACAGGCACATGCATATACAAGCACACACATGTACACACAGGTGCACACACATACACAGAGGTGTGCACACAGGCACACACATACACAGGCACACACCTACACAAGCACACGCAGAGGCACACACATGTACACACAGGCACACACACACACAGAGGTGTGCACAGAGGCGCACACATACACACGCACATGCAGAGGCCACGCATGTGCACACAGGCACACGCACATGCACAGAGGTGCACACACAGGAACACACACATAGGGAGGCACGAGGAGCATGAGTGGTGACACTGCTTCCTCAGGGCCTGTGTGTTTCAGCCTCTGCCTGACCGTCAGTTTGTGTGCTGTTTTGGACATAATTATAAAACAGGAACTGGGGCTGAGAGAGGAAACGGTGCTGGATTTGGGGGCTGAGGTGGTGGGCACTGCCTCTGCGCTGGGAAAAGGGCCACAGACGCAGCGCGTGGACACAGCCCTGCCCTCAGCTCACCTGCCGACACGGTGAGCTCCAGCTGCACCCGCCACCCCGCAGGTAACGGCCCGGCTCCGCTCTGGGCCAGGCTCTGCTCTGGGCCCAGCTCTGCTGACCGCGGACTCAGGAGTGAGCAGGAAGGCTCTGCCCTGCCCAAGGGGCCCTTAGCATGATTAGTGATCAGAACAGACACGGAACAGATCGGGGAGGGACCCAGGGGTGCTCAGGAAAGAGGCAGGGCCAGAGGGGGCAGGGAATAGCCGTGGTGAGGAGTTGGGATTTTATTCCAAATACAATCTTGAGCTTGTGGATGGCTTTAAGGAGAAGGAAAATAGGAATTCTTGTAAGGCATCAGCCTCACTGTTATGTAGTGACAGGAGGTGGTGGGTCGGGGTGGGGCAGGGAGAACAGTCTCTTGCAGGGACCCTGGGCATGTGGAGAAGCTGAAAGATGGAGGATGTAAGATCCGTCCATGAGTGGGCAGGGGATGCGAGGAGCCGAGGGGCCACAGTGCTGAGGACCTAGCTGGAGTAGCTGCGTGGATGGGGGCCTGGGGCACACGGGCAGGAAGCCTCTGCAAATGCTCTCTCCCTGGGGTTCATTCAGAGAGAAAGCAGGAGGAAGAGCCCAGAGACCATCCACAGCAAGGAATTCCAGGCCCAGAGGCCTGGTCAGGATAAGACCAGAAGGAGGTGGAGCAAGTGTCATACTTCACCCTGGATGTCTGGGGGGAGCCCCCAGGTGGAGGCTAGGTCCTCACACACAGACGGTGGTGGAGACAGGCCCAGCTGGCCCGGGGCATCCTCTCTGCAGAGACTGCCAAGGGAAGGCAGGGTGGATGCACCTTCTTCTGCCTTGAACATCTGAGGTTGGGATTATAACTGACGTAAATTTAGGAATGAAAGATCAGCCTTCTTCTACCCCAGAAGCTTCTGGAACTAGGTTTCCAGCATCCCAGGAAGGCAGGCTTCCAGTACCTCCATCTTATAAGAGGCACAGAAAAGTGGGCTGCCCCCAGGGAAACACCATGTGCTGCCCACCAGGTTGACTCATGGGCTGGAATGTACTAGAACTGCCTATCATCCAGTATCTATCATGTCAGCGCCAAGCCAGGTCAGTGACTGGGCTGGGCAGTCCTTCCCTGTCCCCATGCATCTAAGCCTTATTCGTGAAGGGATGGGGGTCTCTCCACTCACAGGAGAGACTCACAGGGGTCTCTCTGCTCACGGCTGCAGAGATCCTTTAATCCCGGTGGAGGCGAAAGGCTTAAAATGGACAAAGTAAAAAAAAAAAGGCTGAAATATACACGACACAATGGCTGAAATACACAAAGGTTATTAATCTATTATTATTATTAATATCTATTAAAAAGTGAATTCATTCTATGTATTAGGCACCATGCCAAAAATCTACAGAATTTTTTTATTTAATCCTTACGGAAATCCCAAGAGGCAGACACTGTATTCCACTTTATGGAGGACCAAGAAAGAGGTGGTCAGAGAGTTTAGACATCATCCTATGAAGGGAAAGACCTAGGATGCCCCAAATCCAGATTCTTCTCCAGCTCAGAGAGCACAGGACTGAGTCATTAGGCCACCGTGGTCCACAGCAGGCAAGTGGCAGCAGGGAGGAGCCTTCTTCTCTTCTCCTGGGGGAGAAAAGGTCCCAGAGAGGAAGACTCTTGGGTACTCAAAACGGACAAAATTCACAATTAGGGAGAAAGTTTAGAAACTGGAGACTAGATACAGACTGCACTTACCATTTTGTCTCTAACTGCAGACAAAGATACATTTTTTATTTTTAAAAAATTCTTTTTTCTATTTTTTGGCAATGTGCAGCCTGTGGGATCTTAGTTCCTGGACCAGGGATCAGATCTGTGCCACCTGCAGTGGAAGGGTGGTCTCAAACACTGGACCACCAGGGAAGTCCCCAAAGAGGCTTTTTTGGAAATAAACACTGGCAGCTACATCCCAGAGCCACCACTCATGGCAGGCATGACCTTTGGCAGGTCTCATCTACCTTAATTTGCTCTTGTGCAAAACCAAGGTGGGTGATCAACCCCACATACCACATAGGTGGATGAGAATTAGAATTCGCCCTGAGTTGAGTCTCCTGGCTCAAAGAGTGACTTAGAGGGAACAGAGAATTTCCTCCAATGACAAGCACCAGCCTCAAGCTCCAGGATTTATGAAGTTGCTTTGCTTTCTTTCTGAAGCAAGTCCAACTTACTTTTATAGGCACTAGCTTCCCAAAAACTGGCAGATCAAGGTG